AGTGACCCATAGACATGCATAGACCAACAGAGACCCATAGAGACACACAGTGACCCATAGACATGCATAGACCAACAGAGACCCATAGAGACACACAGTGACCCATAGAGACACACAGTGACCCATAGACATGCATAGACCAACAGAGACCCATAGAGACACACAGAGACCCACAGAGACACACAGTGACCCATAGACATGCATAGACCAACAGAGACCCATAGAGACACACAGTGACACATAGACATGCATAGACCAACAGCGACCCATAGAGACACACAGTGACCCATAGACATGCATAGACCAACAGAGACCCATAGAGACACAGTGACTCATAGACATGCATAGACCAACAGAGACCCATAGAGACACACAGTGACCCATAGACATGCATAGACCAAGAGAGACCCATAGAGACACACAGTGACCCATAGAGACAAATAGTGACCCATAGACATGCATAGACCAACAGAGACCCATAGAGACACACAGTGACCCATAGACATGCATAGACCAACAGAGATACATAGAGACACACAGTGACCCATAGACATGCATAGGCCAAGAGAGACCCATAGAGACACACAGTGACCCATAGAGACACATAGTGACCCATAGACATACATAGACCAACAGAGACCCATAGAGACACACAGTGACCCATAGACATGCATAGACCAACAGAGACCCATAGAGACACATAGTGACCCATAGACATGCATAGACCAACAGAGACCCATAGAGACACACAGTGACCCATAGACATGCATAGACCAACAGAGACCCATAGAGACACACAGTGACCCATAGACATGCATAAACCAACAGAGACCCATAGAGACACACGGTGACCCATAGAGACACATAGTGACCCATAGACATGCATAGACCAACAGAGACCCATAGAGACACACAGTGACCCATAGACATGCATAGACCAACAGAGATACATAGAGACACACAGTGACCCATAGACATGCATAGACCAACAGAGACCCATAGAGACACACAGTGACCCATAGAGACACATAGTGACCCATAGACATGCATAGACCAACAGAGACCCATAGAGACACACAGTGACCCATAGACATGCATAGACCAACAGAGACCCATAGAGACACACAGTGACCCATAGAGACACATAGTGACCCATAGACATGCATAGACCAACAGAGACCCATAGAGACACACACTGACCCATAGACATGCATAGACCAACAGAGACCCATAGAGACACACAGTGACCCATAGAGACACATAGTGACCCATAGACATGCATTGACCAACAGAGACCCACAGAGACACATAGTGACCATAGACATGCATAGACTAAGAGTGACCCATAGAGACACATAGTGACCCATAGACATGCATTGACCAACAGAGACCCACAGAGACACACAGTGACCCATAGACATGCATAGACCAACAGAGACCCATAGAGACACACAGTGACCCATAGAGACACATAGTGACCCATAGACATGCATAGACCAACAGAGACCCATAGAGACACACAGTGACCCATAGACATGCATAGACCAACAGAGACACATAGAGACACACAGTGACCAATAGACATGCATAGACCAAGAGAGACCCATAGAGACACACAGTGACCCATAGAGACAAATAGTGACCCATAGACATGCATAGACCAACAGAGACCCATAGAGACACACAGTGACCCATAGACATGCATAGACCAACAGAGATACATAGAGACACACAGTGACCCATAGACATGCATAGGCCAAGAGAGACCCATAGAGACACACAGTGACCCATAGAGACACATAGTGACCCATAGACATACATAGATCAACAGAGACCCATAGAGACACACAGTGACCCATAGACATGCATAGACCAACAGAGACCCATAGAGACACATAGTGACCCATAGACATGCATAGACCAACAGAGACCCATAGAGACACACAGTGACCCATAGACATGCATAGACCAACAGAGACCCATAGAGACACACAGTGACCCATAGACATGCATAAACCAACAGAGACCCATAGAGACACACGGTGACCCATAGAGACACATAGTGACCCATAGACATGCATAGACCAACAGAGACCCATAGAGACACACAGTGACCCATAGACATGCATAGACCAACAGAGATACATAGAGACACACAGTGACCCATAGACATGCATAGACCAACAGAGACCCATAGAGACACACAGTGACCCATAGAGACACATAGTGACCCATAGACATGCATAGACCAACAGAGACCCATAGAGACACACAGTGACCCATAGACATGCATAGACCAACAGAGACCCATAGAGACACACAGTGACCCATAGAGACACATAGTGACCCATAGACATGCATAGACCAACAGAGACCCATAGAGACACACACTGACCCATAGACATGCATAGACCAACAGAGACCCATAGAGACACACAGTGACCCATAGAGACACATAGTGACCCATAGACATGCATTGACCAACAGAGACCCACAGAGACACATAGTGACCATAGACATGCATAGACTAAGAGTGACCCATAGAGACACATAGTGACCCATAGACATGCATTGACCAACAGAGACCCACAGAGACACACAGTGACCCATAGAGACACATAGTGACCCATAGACATGCATAGACCAACAGAGACCCATAGAGACACACAGTGACCCATAGACATGCATAGACCAACAGAGACCCATAGAGACACACAGTGACCCATAGAGACACATAGTGACCCATAGACATGCATAGACCAACAGAGACCCATAGAGACACACACTGACCCATAGACATGCATAGACCAACAGAGACCCATAGAGACACACAGTGACCCATAGAGACACATAGTGACCCATAGACATGCATTGACCAACAGAGACCCACAGAGACACATAGTGACCATAGACATGCATAGACTAAGAGTGACCCATAGAGACACATAGTGACCCATAGACATGCATAGACCAACAGAGACCCATAGAGACACACAGTGACCCATAGAGACACATAGTGACCCATAGACATGCATAGACCAACAGAGACCTACAGAGACACATAATGACCCATAGACATGCATTGACCAACAGAGACCCACAGAGACACATAATGACCCATAAACTAAACTATTTTATTGTAGCAGGTAGGGCCCACTACCCAGCTACGTCGCTCTTGTTCACAAGCGATCTGGCTGCTACACATGAAAGTTCAACCAAGTGGTTTATCATGATCATCATCATCACGTGGGAAATGCATAGCAGCAGCTAAATGCTCTTGAAAGCCTCGTGACGTTGATTCTAAATGTGGAGGGGAAACCCCGGAGGACCCGGAGAAAAATCCACGTGATCACGGGGAGAGAGTGGGGCATGCAGACTCCAAGTATACATCATCAGGCTTCGTCAGGACCGGGGAACGAACCCACGACCTCCTGTAGACCAGGCGAGGTAGTCAACATCTCCTAGCCACCGTGATGATGATGAGAGAGAGAGACACAGACTCCAAGTATACATCATCAGGCTTCGTCAGGACCGGGGAACGAACCCACAACCTCCTGTAGACCAGGCGAGGTAGTCAACATCTCATAGCCACCGTGATGATGATAGAGAGAGAGACACAGACTCCAAATATACAGCAGCAGGCATCGTCAGGGACGGGATTGAACCCACAACCTCCTGTAGACCAGGCGAGGTAGTCAACATCTCCTAGCCACCGTGATGATGATGAGAGACACAGACTTCCTGTAGACCAGGCGAGGTAGTCAAAATCTCCTAGCCACCGTGATCATGATGAGAGACACAGACCTCCTGTAGACCAGGCGAGGTAGTTAACATCCCCTAGCCACCGTGATGATGATGAGAGAGAGAGACCTCCTGTAGACCAGGCGAGGTAGTCAACATCTCATAGCCACCGTGATGATGATGAGAGAGAGAGACACAGACTCCAAATATACAGCAGCAGGCATCGTCAGGACCGGGGAACGAACCCACGACCTCCTTTAGACCAGGCGAGGTAGTCAACATCACCTAGCCACCGTGATGATGATAGAGAGAGGGAGACGCAGACTCCAAATATACAGCAGCAGCAGCAGGCATCGTCAGGGTCGTTGATCGATCCCTGGACCTCTTGTATACCAGGCGAGCGAGTTAACATCTCGCCCACAACAATCGAGGCCTTCTGGCCAGTGCCGGATGATCCTCATATCAAAAGTAGCTACATGTGTAGTAGCTACATGTGTAGTACATATGTAGTAGCTACTACATATGTAGCAGCTACTACATATGTAGTAGCTACTACATGTGTAGCTACTACATACGTAGTAGCAGCTACTACTACATATGTATTAGTAGCTACTGGCCCCGCACTTTCAAGGGCCCCATGCTAAATGTTCTTAAGCTATCAATTCCGGCTCAGTGATTCTGCACTTGCTCTATTACTATAGTACTATACTGCCTTCATCCTTTATGAACGACTGGGTGTTTAAGTTTAGCGATTTGTCGTATCAGCCGGCTGTATAGCAAATGCAATAATACAACAACTTTACTATGCAAGTTTTTAAAAAAAACAAGTTTTTTTTAAATATTTCCGTGTTTTATTTTTTTTTATTCAGGGCCCCTTCATAACATATACTACAGGCCCCGAACTAGCTTCATCCGGCACTGCAGAGACCTCGAGTTCGAATCAGGGCCACGGACACCGACCCAACACCGGTGGTGATAACCTGAACAAACAGTTACGGGCCTTCCCCGAGATCGACTCGGCCGCAAATGAGTCCCAAAGGCGGCCGGGCGTGGTGCTGGCCACCCGACCTCCTCGTGTGCCACAGTGCCGGCCTTACTAGCAGGACTTGCCCCGAAACGTCTACGCAGGCGACACCGGGGGCATCTTTGTCTCATTGCGATGCAGTGTGCGTGGGTGCCTGGCTAGTGGGCGTGGCTACATCGAGGGTAGGCGTGGGAACCCCGCAGATGGGCGTGGCTACAGCTATAGTGGGCGTGGCTACATCGAGGGTAGGCGTGGGAACCTTGCTGGTGGGCGTGGCTACAGCTATAGTGGCCGTGGTAACAACGAGGGTAGGCGTGGGAACCTCGCTGATGGGCGTGGCTACAGCTATAGTGGGCGTGGGCACCTGGTTAGTGGGCGTGGGTATCTCGAGGGTAGGCGAGGGAAGCTCGACGATGGGCGTGGCTACATCTATTAGTGGGCGTGGTTACATCTCTAGTGGGCGTGGTTACATCTATAGTGGGCGTGGGGAAGTCGCTGCCCACCCGGCACCTGGGTTCGACTCCTGCTGCTGCTGCTGCTTCAGCCCGGCTCGCCATGGCGCCTCTCGGCTACTGGGGGCCCCCCACAGCCACGCTGGACTGGTGCGAGGACAACTACGACTACTCGCCCTTCGTGGCCGAGTTCTGTGAGTCACTCCTCACACGTGGGGTGACTGTCTCTGTGAGTCACTCCTCACACGTGGGGTGACTGTCCCTGTGAGTCACTCCTCACACGTGGGGTGACTGTCTCTGTGAGTCACTCCTCGCACGTGGGGTGACTGTGCCTGTGAGTCACTCCTCACACGTGGGGTGACTGTCCCTGTGAGTCACTCCTCACACGTGGGGTGACTGGCTCTGAGTCACTCCTCACACGTGGGGTGACTGTCTCTGTGAGTCACTCCTCACACGTGGGGTGACTGTCTCTGTGAGTCACTCCTCACACGTGGGGTGACTGTCTCTGTGAGTCACTCCTCACACGTGGGGTGACTGTCTCTGTGAGTCACTCCTCACACGTGGGGTGACTGTCTCTGTGAGTCACTCCTCACACGTGGGGTGACTGTCTCTGTGAGTCACTCCTCACACGTGGGGTGACTGTCCCTGTGAGTCACTCCTCACACGTGGGGTGACTGTCTCTGTGAGTCACTCCTCACACGTGGGGTGACTGTGCCTGTGAGTCACTCCTCACACGTGGGGTGACTGTCCCTGTGAGTCACTCCTCACACGTGGGGTGACTGGCTCTGAGTCACTCCTCACACGTGGGGTGACTGTCCCGGTGAGTCACTCCTCACACGTGGGGTGACTGTCCCTGTGAGTCACTCCTCACACGTGGGGTGACTGTCTCTGTGAGTCACTCCTCACACGTGGGGTGACTGTCCCTGTGAGTCACTCCTCACACGTGGGGTGACTGTCTCTGTGAGTCACTCCTCACACGTGGGGTGACTGTCTCTGTGAGTCACTCCTCACACGTGGGGTGACTGTCCCTGTGAGTCACTCCTCACACGTGGGGTGACTGTCTCTGTGAGTCACTCCTCACACGTGGGGTGACTGTCTCTGTGAGTCACTCCTCACACGTGGGGTGACTGTCCCTGTGAGTCACTCCTCACACGTGGGGTGACTGTCTCTGTGAGTCACTCCTCACACGTGGGGTGACTGTCTCTGTGAGTCACTCCTCACACGTGGGGTGACTGTCCCTGTGAGTCACTCCTCACACGTGGGGTGACTGGCTCTGTGAGTCACTCACACGTGGGGTGACTGTCTCTGTGAGTCACTCACACGTGGGGTGACTGTCCCTGTGCCTGTGAGTCACTCCTCACACGTGGGGTGACTGTTCCTGTGAGTCACTCACACGTGGGGTGACTGTCCCTGTGAGTCACTCCTCACACGTGGGGTGACTGTCTCTGTGAGTCACTCCTCACACGTGGGGTGACTGTCTCTGTGAGTCACTCCTCACACGTGGGGTGACTGTCTCTGTGAGTCACTCCTCACACGTGGGGTGACTGTCTCTGTGAGTCACTCCTCACACGTGGGGTGACTGTCTGTGAGTCACTCCTCACACGTGGGGTGACTGTCCCTGTGAGTCACTCACACGTGGGGTGACTGTCCCTGTGAGTCACTCCTCACACGTGGGGTGACTGTCTCTGTGAGTCACTCCTCACACGTGGGGTGACTGTGCCTGTGAGTCACTCCTCACACGTGGGGTGACTGTGCCTGTGAGTCACTCCTCACACGTGGGGTGACTATCCCTGTGAGCCACTCCTCACACGTGGGGTGACTGTCTCTGTGAGTCACTCCTCACACGTGGGGTGACTGTCTCTGTGAGTCACTCCTCACACGTGGGGTGACTGTCCCTGTGAGTCACTCCTCACACGTGGGGTGACTGTCTCTGTGAGTCACTCCTCACACGTGGGGTGACTGTCTCTGTGAGTCACTCCTCACACGTGGGGTGACTGTCCCTGTGAGTCACTCCTCACACGTGGGGTGACTGGCTCTGTGAGTCACTCACACGTGGGGTGACTGTCTCTGTGAGTCACTCACACGTGGGGTGACTGTCCCTGTGCCTGTGAGTCACTCCTCACACGTGGGGTGACTGTTCCTGTGAGTCACTCACACGTGGGGTGACTGTCCCTGTGAGTCACTCCTCACACGTGGGGTGACTGTCTCTGTGAGTCACTCCTCACACGTGGGGTGACTGTCTCTGTGAGTCACTCCTCACACGTGGGGTGACTGTCTCTGTGAGTCACTCCCCACACGTGGGGTGACTGTGTCTGTGAGTCACTCCTCACACGTGGGGTGACTGTCTGTGAGTCACTCCTCACACGTGGGGTGACTGTCCCTGTGAGTCACTCACACGTGGGGTGACTGTCCCTGTGAGTCACTCCTCACACGTGGGGTGACTGTCCCTGTGAGTCACTCCTCACACGTGGGGTGACTGTGCCTGTGAGTCACTCCTCACACGTGGGGTGACTGTGCCTGTGAGTCACTCCTCACACGTGGGGTGACTGTCCCTGTGAGCCACTCCTCACACGTGGGGTGACTGTCTCTGTGAGTCACTCCTCACACGTGGGGTGACTGTCTCTGTGAGTCACTCCTCACACGTGGGGTGACTGTCCTTGTGAGTCACTCACACGGGCGGTGACTGTCTCTGTGAGTCACTCCTCACACGTGGGGTGACTGTCCCTGTGAGTCACTCCTCACACGTGGGGTGACTGTCCCTGTGAGTCACTCCTCACACGTGGGGTGACTGGCTCTGTGAGTCACTCCTCACACGTGGGGTGACTGTCCCTGTGAGTCACTCCTCACACGTGGGGTGACTTTCTCTGTGAGTCACTCACACGGGGGTGACTGTCTCTGTGAGTCACTCCTCACACGTGGGGTGACTGTCTCTGTGAGTTACTCACACGGGGGTGACTGTCCCTGTGAGTCACTCCTCACACATGGGGTGACTGTCTCTGTGAGTCACTCACACGTGGGGTGACTGTCTCTGTGAGTCACTCACACGTGGGGTGACTGTCTCTGAGTCACTCCTCACACGTGGAGTGACTGGCTCTGTGAGTCACTCACACGTGGGGTGACTGTCCCTGTGAGTCACTCCTCACACGTGGGGTGACTATCTCTGTGAGTCAGTCCTCACACGTGGGGTGACTGTCCTTGTGAGTCACTCACACGGGCGGTGACTGTCTCTGTGAGTCACTCCTCACACGTGGGGTGACTGGCTCTGTCAGTCACTCCTCACACGTGGGGTGACTGTCCCTGTGAGTCACTCCTCACACATGGGGTGACTGTCCCTGTGAGTCACTCCTCACACGTGGGGTGACTGTCCCTGTGAGTCACTCCTCACACGTGGGGTGACTGTCCCTGTGAGTCACTCCTCACACGTGGGGTGACTGTCTCTGTGAGTCACTCCTCACACGTGGGGTGACTTTCTCTGTGAGTCACTCACACGGGGGTGACTGTCCCTGTGAGTCACTCCTCACACGTGGGGTGACTGTCTCTGTGAGTCACTCACACGTGGGGTGACTGGCTCTGTGAGTCACTCACACGTGGGGTGACTGTCTCTGAGTCACTCCTCACACGTGGGGTGACTGTCTCTGTGAGTCACTCCTCACACGTGGGGTGACTGGCTCTGTGAGTCACTCACACGTGGGGTGACTGTCTCTGTGAGTCACTCACACGTGGGGTGACTGTCCCTGAGTCACTCACACGTGGGGTGACTGACTGAGTAGTCACACGTGGGGGGGTTGACTGCTAGGGGTGACTATCAGGCTGTGAGAGATGGAGGTGGGGAGCGGTGGCGCAGTGGTTAGCACCGCGCTACGAACCCGGCTACCCGAGTTCGACCAGCGGTGACGATTCTCTGAACCGGTGCTGGGCCTCCCCTAGGTCGACTCGGCCTCAAACGAGCTACCCGGTGCGGTGAGCAGTCGGCATCGCCGCCGGGAAGGCAAAGGCGGTGCACCCTGCCGCTACTGGCTAGCAGCACTTGCCCCAATACTTTGTCGAGGCTACACGGAGGGGTGAGTTCCTTTGCCGCGTTGTCGAATGGAGGCTCTGAGCGTGAGAGATTTATTCCGATGTAGATGTGAAGTTTAAGAGATGCCACGTTAACAAGGTCATACCGATCGCATTGACACTCACCCTTACACCTCGATCACCTCTCTCTCTCTCACACACTTGGGAAAAAACATTTTCTTGCTGTGGTTTTCCCACCCGATGATGACGATCGCTCGTGTTACGCGCCCGAAACGTCGTGACTTCATTTAGTTTACACCCACGTGACTTCATTTAGTTTACACCCACGTGACTTCGCCGGATTCATCCCGAGTAGAGTTGCGCCTGGCGCGCGCGGGGGGCGGTGGGGGAGCGGTGGGGGAGCGGTTAGCGCACTGCGTGGAAACGGCGCACCGAGAGCAGAGAGAAGGCCCGGGTTCGATTCCCGCTCGCGACCACGACCAGCGGTGAAGGCGAATGTCTGAACCGGTAAAACCGGCCCTCCCTTGGGTCGGCTCGGCCCCAAATCAGGTCCGGTGCGGTCGTACACGTCGGCGCGAAGGGAGACACTGCCACTCCTCACCCGCAGCACTTGCCCCGGCAGCCTGCGCAAGGCTACACGGGGCACCTTTGTCTGTGTGCGGTTCTGCCTGATTCGGTCCCCAATGCGCAGGCAGCCTCGGCGAGTCGAACCGGTTTCTCCGGATCCAGAAACCGGTTTGGACTCCACTCTCTGCGACTCGTGGCTGAGAGCGCGCCGTGGGGGGTGGAGCGTAGGGGGTGGAGCGTGGGGGGTGGAGCGTGGGGGTGGAGCGTGGGGGGTGGAGCGTGGGGGTGGAGCGTGGGGGTGCAGCGTGGGGGTGGTGGAGCGTGGGGGTGGAGCGTGGGGGTGGAGCGTGGGGGGTGGAGCGTGGGGGGTGGAGCGTGGGGGTGGAGGAGTCTGGGTTCCCAAGGGTGGTCTATGAGATGTTAACTACCTCGCCTGGTCTGCAGGAGGTCGTGGGTTCGATCCCAGACCCTGAGGATGCCTGCTGCTGTTTAATTGGAGTCTGCATCTCTCATCATCATCACGGTGGTCTATGTGATGTTGACTACCTCGCGTGGTCTACAGGAGGTCTGTGTCTCTCATCATCATCATCATCATCATAGTGGCTAGGAG